TGCTGGGTGAGCAGTGGGAGCTGCACACAGAGCGGAGGCAGCGCAGAGCCCATTGAGGCAGTGGGTCAGGAACAGCTTCTCTGGCGGGTCCAGTGAAGAGGCGTCCCTCAGCTTAGTCACCGCGTTTTTCAGAACGAGATGCTGAGGTCGGGAGATGAGAGATGGCCTGGGATGTTCGACGCAAACCCTCAAGTGGGGGCTGAACCTGGAAATTCCTGTCCGGCTTGTTCATGTTTATTTTTTAAGCCCAAAGCAAGATCGCCAAGTCCCCTCCTCCAAGCTCAGCTGAGCACAAGTTGTGTTGTTTTCCACTGCAGACGGCAGATGAGGCCACGGTTCCTGTGGCCCAGCCCGAAGCAGACGCCAGGGGCCGCGCCCGGCTCTGCTGCCTGCCTGTGGGACCTCGTGCCTCGCCCCCGAAATGGGGAGCGTGTGTCCACACCGCAGGGTGGTTTCAGGGCCGACAAGGATGCGCACAGGCAGAGCCGAAGCCCAGCCTGGCCGGCAGCCATAAGCCTGGCCTCGCGGTGACCTCGCCAACCCGAGGTGCAGACACAGCTCTCTGCTCCGGCCGCTCCCGGGCTCCGGGGCTGGGTCCGGGCTGCAGGTGCAGCTTCCGGCGAGGACGCGTACCAACCAGGGCGAGCGTGGTGAGGAGGCCGGTGGTGCAGAGTGGGGGCGGAGAAGCAACCCCCCCCCTCGTCGTGTCTCCTCGCAGCGGTTCTCAACCTATGGGACGCGAACAATGAAAATACATCCTGCATATCAGATATTTACATTAGATTCATAACAGTAGCAACATTACAGTTATGAAGTAGCAATGAAAACAATTTTATGGTTGGGTCACAACATGAGGAGCTGTATTTAAAGAGTCGCGGCATTAGGAAGGCTGCCTCAGAGCAACCCCAGGCCACGTGATGCAGTGTCCCGTGCAGAAGGCCATGGCACATCTGACTGTCAGATTTCTCAAAATTCATCGGTCCTGTGGCCTAGAACTCAGCCCCTCCGGCCGCAGGCGCTGGGAACCCCCGAGCTGTCGGGGACTGGCCGCCTTCTGTGGAGAGCTGTGTCTCACTGCAGCTGGCCGGCCGCCTTGTCAAAGCGGGACCAGAGTGAGGCTCTGATGATGGCACTGATGATGGCGCTGTCGGCGGGAGTGACCCCTCCAGTCCTCACCCCTGCACATGGGTGGGCACCTAGAGCCTGAACACCATTAAGCGCTGACAACCTTTTCACTGTGTTGAAAGGGAGAGAGAAGTGGGTGGAGAGGGAGAAAGTCAGAGAGAAACAGAGAGACAGGGACAAAGACAGAGTCACACACACAGAGAAGGAGAGAGAGAGAGAGAAAGAGAGAGAGAGAGAGAGAGAGAGAGAGAGAGAGAGAGAGAATAAGTTGCCAGAGTTGCCCCATGGCCTGAGAACAGGAAGCCACGGTGAAGTAGCCCTGACTCTCTGGTAATGAGCTGGAGGCAGGGGTTTCTGAACTCCACCACCTCCCAACTCTCACCGTTGTCCAGGGCTATTGCAGGCCAGCTCATTAGGAGGCCTGTGAACAGCCCCACTGCCGTGTGCTCTGTCACGCCAGCTACAAGCACCTCTTGATCAGTGTGCTTGTCAGCGCTGCCTCCGGGCATGAGGCAAACTGGAGAAAAGGTTTGCTGTGGTCAAAAGATGGCCCAGTCTGGGCTCCTAATTTGTTTTGGATCCTTGACACTAGAGGGTATCTGATGAGCATGCGGGACCAGGGTATAGACAAACGTCTCATCCACTCAGTGTTTGCTGGCACTGGGCTGCCAGCCTCCAGGCTTTCCTGGCAGTCTCTGTCCGTAATTGTGCAACCTGGGGCTGGGAAGTGACATCGGGAGAGGAGGGAGGCCTGACCTTCAGCTCTGGGGCCCCGGCCCAGGGGAATCTGGGAGCAAGGGGGTCCACCTCAATGAGTGTCTTGCTGGCTGGGAGGCAGAGGATGCAATGCAGGTTTTAGTCCAGGATGTGTGTCACATGGCTGCAGGAAGCTCCCCTGATTCCCAGCTGAATATAACCACTTCCTTCCCAGGAATTTCTTTAATAATATACCTCCAGTGGTACCTACTGATATTTATGACTTAACTTGCATTTCAGTCTGCAGGCTGTTTGAAGACAAGTCCATGTTTGAGTTCTTCCCTCATTGAATATAGTCCAGAACTTGTCACACAGTAGCAGTAGTGGTCGTGATGCTGCTGATGGTGGTGATGGTGATGGTGAAGATGGTGATGCTGATGGTGGTGACGATGTTGATGGTAGTGATGGTGGTGATAATGATGACGTTGATGGTGGTGATGGTGGTGATGATGGTGATGTTGATGGTGGTGATTATAGTGATGTTGAGAACCAGCATATGGTTGGCATTTCCAGCAATAAATCTCTTTACTTTTCCCAAAGGTCCGGGTGGGTGGGAGCCGGAGCAGCTGACCTGGGGGTGCATTGGGAACAAAGATGAGCTTGGCTGTGGGTGTGTTTTCAGGTCGACCCGAAGGCTGTGCTGACGCGCAGGCACCGGGCAGGGGCAGCCGGTCAGCGACTCCATCGCGGACCCACAGGTCTTTGGCCTCGCAGCCCAGTGGCCAGTGGTGCTGCAGCTATGGCGCTGT